TGGTCTCTTAAATAATTTTCTGGTTCTTCTATTTCTACCGTTAGATAATGGCATGGTTAACTAAACACCCAGTGACAGGGTTTTTTGAGTTCTCAGGGCTTCAAGTTACTAGTTTATTAATAGTTTATTATAGTTAATGTTTAGTTTCTTGGGTTTTTTTTTAGTAATTTTAGTATTTAGTATTCTTTAATTATTATTTTATTAGTTATTATAAAAAAAGACAAAATTCATGTAATAAAAAACAAAAAAAAATCAATCATTTTCTGATTCATTAAAAGCATTAATAATGGATTGTTTGTATTGACTAAACATATCTGAAGAAATGTAAAACGTTTTATTAAATCGAGTAATATACTTCTTACAACAAGTATCAAAATTAATTTCTCCATTAGTATTTAATTTTAATTCATTTGAGTTAAGATGAGGTTGATTATTAAAGAATGGTTGATTATAAGAAGCAATTATATCATCAATTGGGAATTCCACTATAAGAACAATTAATACAGAAAGTATTTTCTAAGTAATCAGTTATTAATCAATTCAATATAAATTAAAGCAAACTTTAAATAATTGAACTAGCATTAATACAAAAGTAAAATATAAATAATAAATAATTGATGTTGGTAATAAAAAGACTAATAAAGCAAAGAGAATTGTACCTAATAAGAAATTGTCTTGTTCATAAACTAATGTATCAACTCTTTTACGTAAAGGATTATATTTTGTTCCCATAAATAATCTAAACAAAGAAACTATTAAAGAGAGATGAGTTTGTTCTAACCCACTAAAAAATACTGATAATAACTCTATTGGTAAAAAAATTAATACCAAAGCGTCATTAAAAAAAGATAGAATTCCTGTTATTCCTGTTATAAGAGATGCAAATGTAATAATTTTAAATATATAAAATGAAGGTAAAACAATAAATATTAAACAACCTAATAGTTATTTCTTTCTTTTACTATTTAAAATTATTTAACAAACTTCTCCAAAAATGAAGGAAGAATAATGATAATGATGATAAGAAATAGTTAAAGTTAATATTAAATTTAAATCCACCAGGATTAGTTATAAACCATTTAACACTATGTTCTATAAAATTAATTAAACGAAATAATAATGGAAATATATATGAAAATATATCTACTTTATACAATATTATAAATAAACTTATTCCTAATAAATGATCAACAATAACTGCAATTGTATTTTGCATATGTTTACTTAATTCTTTATTCTTAATATCTTCAAAAAATTGTTTTCTTGATTTAATAAAATGATTATTCCATTGACTAAGTTTGAGTTGGCTCCAAAGCATATCTTGGATATTTATTTCTTCTCAGTTTTTTTTTTTTCTTTCATTTAATAACACAACCCTCTTTCCTTAAAAACACAATTTTCAAATAAAAAAAATGATAAAATTATTCTATCGGTTGTGATAAAAAACATAATAATCCAAGTTTTTTAATAACAAGAATTATCTTTATTGTTTTTATTTTATTATTATACATTAAAAAATGAAAGTGTTAAGAGAGATAAATACTGTCAAAACAAGAAGAGATATGTTAATAAAAGAAGAATGGTATAAATTTACATTATAAGAAATAAAAAAATAAGAAAAAAAAAAGAATAGAAATATTAAAAGTCAAGAAAAAAAAAACTGAAAACTAAAAATTATATTATTTAATAAATGAGAATAATAGTATTTCTTGTTATGATTTGTGTACTTACTGAAGCACAATGTAATATGAAAATGGGATGCATGAAAAATTACAGACAACGTGCATGTAAAAATGAAACAAAAAAATTAGAACGAATGGTTAAGAGGCTTGCATTTAAGAATAGAATTAATCGTAATAGACTTGCTACTATTGAGTCAACTTTTGTTTTACCAGAATTACCAGTTGATAGAGTTAGTACTACAACAAATAAAAGAAATGTTTCTACAAAAAAAGAATTAACAAAAGAAGAAAAAGCAAAAATTGAATTAATAAAGAAAGACCAAACACCAAGTGAAGATAATATTTATGTTAAAGCAATGAATAGTTATTTTGCAACATTAAAACCAGTTGTTAAAGAAAAAAAACTTATTAAACGATATATTGTTCACACACCATGCACTGGAGATTTATGTAAATTCTTAAATAAGAAATTAAAAGTTCCTAAATGCAAAGATAAATTTAAACCAAGTCAATGTATGAAGTTAGGCTATAATTATAAGGCAAAAGTTCAAACTATGGCAAAACAAAAGTGTCTTCTTTAAAACATTTTTTTTACCATTTTATTGTTTTTTTATTTAACAAAATTTTTTATTTAAAAAAAACTTAAAAATGTCAAATTTATCATTCAATAGAATGCAACAGAAACAAGTAAATGTTATTGAATTTTTTAGTGGAATTGGTGGATTACGTTCAAGTTATGAACGATCTTCAATTAATATAAATGCAACATTTATACCATTTGATATAAGTTTGAAGATAATATAATAAAAAGAATATAAAAATAAATATTCACAATAACTATAGATGAAATTGCAAATAAAATATACTCAAAGAACTTTAAAGAAGAAGTACAAGTAGTTTGTAATAATTATTAAAAAGGAGTAATAAATAATAAATTATTTATTTAATAGAAAAATTTAGATAGCATTTCAATAAAACAAATAGAATCTTTAAATTGTAATACATGGTTTATGAGTCCACCTTGTCAACCATATAATAATTCAATAATGTCTAAACATAAAGATATTAATGATCCAAGAGCAAAAAGTGTATTACATTTATATCGTGATATTCTTCCATATTTAACAAATAAACCAACACATATTTTTATTGAAAATGTTCCGTTATTTAAAGAATCCCTTGTTTTTAAAGAAATTTATAATATTCTTATTAAAAATCAATATTATATTAAAGACATTATTTGTTCTCCTATTGATATTGGAATTCCAAATAGTAGAACTCGTTATTATGTTATGGCACGATTAACTCCTTTTAAAAATGACATTCAATTACATCAAGAAAAAGAGTCAATGATATCAAATTATTTAGATAATAATGTAAATGAATCTTATTATATTCCTTCAGATTTAATTTTAAAGAAAGGAATGTTATTTGGTTTGTTTTTTAATGTATTTTAAATAAAAATATTGAAAAGAGATTTAATTGAAAAGATATTGTTGGTAAAGATGATAAAAGGACTTGTTGTTTTACTAAGTCATATACTAAAATTGTTGAAGGAACTGGTTCTATTTATTGTCCAATAGAACCTCATTTTATTCCAGTAAAAAAGGCTGAAGATTTACTTAATAAAAATTTAAGATATTTTACTCCAAATGAAATAAAAAAAATTCATGGATTTTCTTCCAATTTTACAACTCAAATTGATGGATTAACTGATAAACAACAATACCAATGTCTTGGTAATAGTGTCTCTTGCTTTGTTATAGCACAATTAATGGAATATTTATTCGATGATTTAAAAGAGTAAATTATCATTTATTTCACATTTTGAATTGAATTACTTTATTTTTAAAGTTAAATTGGAAATTGTTTGTTTCATTTTGGATATATTAAATAAAAAGAATTTAAAAGTCCAAAACATCGAAAACTAATGATTTTCATAATTTCTAAAAAGCAAAAATGATGAAAAAAGAAAAAAGTCCTGGAGTTCCAACCAGGATGAATATCCATGATGATAAACTAATCTTCTCACTGATTTGCTTTATTATTTTATTATACAATAATTATTAAAATAATAATAAATAGAAAATAAAGAAATTAATTATTAAAGAAGATCAATGTAATTACGTACTGATACATATGACTGGGTATAAAGCATATTAGAAAAATGAAGAATTTTATTAATTGAAATTGGTTTTAACGATTTTAAATCAGATTCAATAGAAGTAGATTGAAGAAGTTCTGAATGATAAGAAACTATTAAAGCACTAATAACATATAAACAAAAAGAAGGATGAGTTGCAATTAAATAATCCATCAATTTTAAAGAATCATCTAAAGAATAAAGGGTTAAACAATAACTTTGTAACCAAGGTTCTACTACATCAATATGTTGAACAATATGAAGACAAAGATCCATATCTACAATAGATAAAATACTAATTAAGGCATATTTCCAAGCTTTTTTATTTGAATAATGAATAGATTGTTTTGATAAAAATGCAATACAACAATAAAATGTATTTAATTCATTTGTTACAGATAAAAATACATTTATTAAATGTATAATTGTATTAATATTATACCATTGTTGATTTCTTTTATCAAACCAATTAACAATTGCATTACTAATTTTTTGAACTATTTTGTTTTGAGTTAATTCAATTATTGTTTGATTTAATCGAGATAAATTACAATATTGAATATATTCATCAGTATTTAATGGTTTTCTTTTTAATAATATTGCCCATACTTTTGCTCTTAATTCTTTTTCATCTTCTTTAAATCCTTCCACTAAAACAGATTTTCTTAGTTCAAAGAAATTTCCTATTTTATTTTTAAAAACTGAACTTATACTATCTTCATGATAATCAATTTCAACATTTTTTAATGTTTTTAATTGTTTTATATCTTTTGGTTTCTCTTTTTCTTCTTCTTTGTTTTTTTCTTCTTCTTCAAACGCAGTATCCCAATCACTTCCTATATCTAAAAATTCATTAGAAATATTTGGCTTTGTTGACTCTGGAGATCCAATATTAAATTCACTAATATCATTAAGTTCTTCTAAATTAAAATCATTATCATATGTTGTAAGACTCATTTGATATTATATTTCATTTTTTTAGTTCTTTTAGTTAAAAATTATTTTATATTTATTTCTTTTTTTTTCTCTTTTTTTTTAATAACATTATTTTATATCTTAATAACATAATTTTAAACTATATTTTTTAATTAAATTTACTATTAAATTAGTATTAATACAAAATTCTTCATTAATTGAATTGAAGATTTATTATTTCTGTTTTTAACCGTTTATTCTCTTCTATTACTTCTTTAAATGCATTTAATAATTGGTTTTTACTTCTTCCTATTATTTCACAAGACTTTTTAATTCTTTCAAATGGCGGAACTTGAATTTCTCTACTAGGACGAAGGATATTAGTTGTAGTAAAATCAAAAGGATTAGGATGCATCTTAGATATATTTAAAGCTTCAATAAAATCAGTTTCTTTCCATCCAATATTTGATGCTTGAAAATTTTCAATTAAACAAAAGACAGACTCTATTGAAGTAATATAATAAGTTTGTTCATCAAAAGGTTTATTCATAAAAGCTTTAATATAATCAATATTTGAAGCAAAAAATGGGATATTTGCTTTAATAAGAACATAAACTAATGAAGGAAAGAAGACATCAGCAGATACAGGACCACCTTTTGGTAATGTTTTATAAATTATTAATTGAAGAAATTTTAATGAAGTTATAAGAATAACAGCTTTTTGATGAGGACTTTTATAACTATTAATTCTTCTAAGTTGTTGAATAGTAATTTCAATTCCATATTTGCCTAATGGACAATCTAAAAAATTTATTTCTAAGTCTTTCAATTGAATAAATTGTAAAGCAAGAATTCTCCAGTCTAAATCTCTATCTTTTTCACATGAATTTTGTATAATTTCAGTTGTTTTTTCAATTAATGGAGGCCAAATATCATAAAATATTTGATGAGTAATAATTCCTTCAAAAGTTCTTCTCATATGATCTAAATTCATTTGTTTTTGATATTCTTTAGGAAGTTTATTCATTATACCATTTATTACTTTTTTTATAAGAATACCTTGTTCTTCAATTGACTTATTATTAACCATTCCACTAAGGTTTTCTACTACTAATTGAATATAATTTTTAATGTCATTAAATAACTTATTTTCTTCTAATTCTTCAGCAAATTGTAATGATTTATCTTCATAGACTGTATAATACATCCAATCTTTAATATCTAAATTTAATTTATCTTCTTTATATTTAATTATTCTCATATTATTCCATTTAAGTCCATTTAAATCATCAAATTTTATTCCCCAAGTACAACCTTCAATATTAAATGGTCTTGATATCTTTAATACAGGTAAATCTCCCAATGGAGTAACAATAATACCATTTCCTATAATAGAAACTGTATCTTCTATTCCTAAACTATATGAATCTTCTTCACAAATAATTTCTGAAGGTAAATTAATATTCATATTAAATGGAAATTGTTTAAATGGATCAATACACATTTTCCATGGATATGTTTTTGAATTATGTGGTTGGAAATAAATATCTACTTTGTCTGTTATTCTAAGATAATTTCCATTTAATGTAATACCTCGTTGTGATGCTGGATGTCTTCTAATAAGATGTGTTAAATAAAATTCTATTGATGGAGAAATAGTGTGAGGTAAAAGTAATGTACATCCATATTTTAATGCTGGAAGAAGCATTTCTTTAAATAATGGAACATTACAATACATGTCATAAAGTCCTGATGGTTTTTGATCTAAAAGAGCTCTTCCACCATGACAATTAATTGTAGTTTCAATAATATTATACATTAATTGTTTAGGTAATGGTTGAACTATTTCTTCAATATCGTCTTTCCATGAAGTATCTTCTTGGTACCTTGTTTTTATTGATTCTGGATTTGGTGGAGTTAATGTAATAGAAGAAGAAAGTGGTTGTGAATGATGTTTTAATTTACTCAGTGTTTTTCTCATAAAGAACAAAGTTAGTAAAAGAACTTAAATTCTTCTTTTTTAAATTTAGATTTTTCTTTTTGTTATTTATTGAAAACAATTCTGGTATTTTACTTATTATAAAATCTTTTTTGTATAAATTAATTGAATTAAATTTTCAAAAAGAACTTAAAAATAGAAAAGAAAATAGAGTTATGTTTTTTTTTTAAGTTGATTTACTCTAGTGTAAACTTAAATTATTTATTGTTTTATTGTTTTATTTTTTTGTTATTTGTAGATTGTTTTATTTTAAATAAAAAAAAAAACAACAAAAGAAAATTAGAGTAGGAAATTAAATGAAAAAACAAATACAAGAGAAATAATATAAAATTAATAGATAGATAATAAAAACAGTGTAATGAAGGATTAATTTTCTAGAAATGAGATGAGAATTTGATTAAAAATAATGACAAAAAAAAAATCTTTTCATTAAAAAGATAACAAACTTACTTCATTCTGTTTTCGTTCTATCATTTGTTTTCTCTTTAAAGCCATTTCTTCAATTAATGAATTCCATTCTCCTGTAGGACAGGATTTAGTTAATGCAGGTTGTTGTTCTTTCATAGTTTTGGCTTTAGGAGATTTTGATGGTAATAAAGGTTTTCTTTTTATTTCATTATCTAAAACATCATCTGTAGTTGTTGAAAGATTAATAATTTTCTTTTTATGTATTTTCTTTGATGAAGAATTTGCATTAACTTTATTTACAAGTTGTTGTGGACGAGGAGGAGGTGGTGGAACATTTAAAGAAATATCAGATTTAATTTTTTGTTGATTTATTCTAGAGGAAGTATCATTTACAATTATTTCAACAGGAGGAGAAATTGTTTTAATAGAACCAACAGTTTCAATAAATTCATGTTTTTCTTTACCAGAAATTAATGTAGCTCTTCTTTTTTTCATTGAATTTACATTGTTTTTATGTGACATAGTATAAATAACTTTTTGAGTATTAAAAACATATTTAAAATGTTCAATAAGAGTTTGTATAGCCATTGTACAATACCCTGTTTCTGTAATATCTGCTTTAGAATCATAAAGAATACAAGGAGCTAAACAAATTGCTAAATTATTAGGTGTCATTAAACTTGGTCCATTAGCAATTTTAACTGCTAATTCAATAAAATAATGAAGAACAGTTGATGCAATAGGAAGTTCACTTAATATCTTTTTTAATTTACATAAATAAATCATTAATGGAGTAGATTCTTCTTGCATTATATTAATATGAGGGTTTTCATTCATTTGAATATAAACTGGTTTTAATGTTTGTATATTATCAACCATTTGTTGGTCATATTCACGGGTTGCTTCAATTATTTCTTTATATGCAGATGATGGAAATATTGGTTCTGGAAGATCTCTCATAAATTTTTTTAATGTAGCTGCAATAACAATACTATTCTTTTCTTCATATTCAATTAATAAAGGATATTTTGCATAAAGTGCTACAGTATCAGCTCTTCCTGCAAGTCTAAATATTCCAGTTGAAGAATAACCAACTGTATAAAGAAAATAAAAGATTTTATGTATTTGAAATGGTAATTCATATAAAGATAATCCTTCATGTTCTATTAATGTTTGTAATGATTGATTTGATATAGGAATAGTTGCATGTTTAATTTTATTTTTAAGGTTATAAGTTAATTGAGGAACAGTAAATTCTTTCATTGAGCGTAATTCTTCAACTGTATATTTTTCAATTGCAGTTAATCTATTTAAATCAATAGAAATATTAATTGATATTGAATAAATATCAATAAGAGTAGTTTCCATAAATTCATAAGCTTGTATACTACATAAAGCACATGCATCAATATTCTTTTTTGTTCCAAAATCAATCATTGTTTTTTTAATTTGACTGATTAATGGAAATATACTTTTTTCTGCAACTTTTAATAATTCAGTTGCATTTGTAAAAGTACAACAAACATCCATTAAAGTTCCTTTAAATGCTTTTAATTTATTATTTGCATTACGAGTTATATCACTAATAAATCCTTCTGGATTTATTTGTGTTAATTGATCAAAAATATTAATTGTATCTGCTAATGCATTTGATAATGAATCGGTTATTTGGTTAATTTGATTAATACTTTTATTTAAATTTTGTAATAACTTTTTTTGATTACTTAATTCTATATACTTATCAATCTTTTTCTTATTAAATATTAATAACCCTTTGAACTATAAAACAAACGAGGTTCAGTTTTACTATACCACTCTTGTAAATCTTCTGGTTCATTACATTCAATTCTTTTCATTTGAAAATATCTTTATTTAAAGATCTCTTCTTTTTGTTTTTTTTTTATGTAATTGCTCTATAAAAATTGCTAGCAAAAAGAGTTTTAATTGAATTTTGAACATCCAAAGAACCACTTTTTTTTCTTTTTTTTTTTTAAAACTCCTTCTAAAACCAAAATTTTTTCATACAAAAAAATTTTCACTTGTTTATATTTTAATGGAATGAAGTAAGTAAAATTCTTAGAACTAATAATATTTGCTTTATTTTATTATTAAAGTTTTCATAAACAAACTTTCCTTTTAATCCAAGAATTTTTATATGTCAGAAAAAAAGAAAAAAGAATTAATAGAAGAAGAGTATTTTTTGATATTATTCTTATTCTATTCATCAACAAATTAATACATAAATTAATTTTAATTTTTATTATATAAAAACACAAACCTTAACCAACTCTACTTCATCTTATGTTTTTTTTTTTAGAAATTATTAATATAAAATCTTTTCTTCAATAATATGTTAAATTGAAAATCAAAAAATCATATAAATTAATTTTTGTTTGTCTTCTTTCAAATCAATTATTGTTTATTTCTAACACATTTGTTACTATTAGGTTTCATAAAATATCAATTCAATTTAATGGTTGTTACAAATTGTTATTAATCTTCAATTTAAAGAATTTATAACTTTATTTTTTATTGAAACTGTACCAACAATTTCATCTTCTTTTCATAGGGAAAAATGTTCATATACTCCTTAAATAATACTTTTTAAAATTCAGTCATGGTTGGTATTTTATTT